TTGGATGTTAATATTTAAATTGTTTTTTGCTATGTGTTGTCGTATTTTCAGTTTCTAATAGACTTTAAATTCTCTAATTACAGGAACTCCCTCACTTCATTTTGCCGCTTTTGCTTAATAGGGAGAATAAAATGTCTGTTGTACATACTGTAAATATATCTAATAATATATAATATATGTAATATTATCCATCTGCTAATGTGATCAGTAAGTTGTTCAAGTCTTTTGAAATCCAACAAGTATACTACTGCAAGAATTTACACTTCCTTCAATGTTATCATTCATTTGAGATTCAACAGGGAATCTATCACTTTTATCGTCATTCGTTGAATTTCTTTCTATTTGATACCTAATGGGCATATAAATTTACCTTCAGGGTCTTGCTCATTTTGGGGGAATAGCCATTAGCCCCCCCCCGCTTTAACTGATCATGTATCGTTCTTTCTGAAATTTTCATTTGCTCTTTTGCAGGTCAGCATCATACTGATGTCTGTTGTACACATTCTCAATATATCTAATAGTATATAATATTATCCATCTTCTGCAAAAGCCATCACTCTTGATTCATTAATATTAATATTTTAACAATCATAATATTTTGACTATTGGGCCCGTGCTTGCCACGGGCCTTCCCATCTAGTAATACATATAAATTGCACTTAAATGCACATAATATTTGTATACATACCTATTGTATTTAACTTACGCTTGGATGTTCCCGTCTCATTGGTTCTTTATAATATATAATATTCCATCTTCATTAGTTCTTTTTTTGGGTGTGGGGGGTCCCCTTAATTATAAGTCAGAATCGGCCATTTGACTATCTAGTTTACAAAATATATGAATAATATATATTTTATACTAAATATACATACTTATACACAACATATATTGATAAACTAGTCAGTCGAAGAATATATATTTGTAACTTTCCATTACACTCTCTTATCCATCTGTACATTATTTCCCCAGCATAAATAATGCTCATCACTTTTCATTTTCAAAGAATCAAACTTATGAATTTAGACTTACTATAATATTTTTTTTCTTATTAATATTTGTTTTTAAAAAAAATGCATCTTATAGTATTTATCATGCAATTGCCTCCAGGCCTAGTTGAGTGGCAAAAGGTGGAGGATTTGTAGCTTAGGTCGCAGGTTCAAGCCCCACACCATGTAAAGCGAAACCTGATATTTAAGTGGAGAAGGGTAGAGAGGCGGGTCCATTATCCACCGAGTTTAAAAGGTTGTGATTGGTCCAAAAAATTTCTCGGTTATAAAAAAAAAAGTACTGATCGTGCAATTTCTTATATGTATATATAAACTATAAAAAAATTTTTACTGAAAATTGAATTGATTAATCAAGAGAAAAAGGTTTGAAATATATTCGAACTTTGATCGAAATTGCTATAACGATACTGAACTTTGGAAAGGACCTTTTACCCCCTGCACTATTTAATAGTGTATTTTAAAGGTATATATATGTCCACGTGGACATCATAAATATTGCATCATTATAAAAAGTAACGTGTCCACGTGGGCACATATATACCATTAAAATACACTATTAAATAGTGTAGGGGGTAAAAGGTCTTTCATAAAGTTTGGTATCGTAACAACAATTTCGGTCAAAGTTGAAATATTTTTCAGACCATTTTCCCAATTAATCAAGGGAAAAGGCTCAAATATGCCATCGAACTTTCATAAAAGGCTCATTTATGCCATCCGTTAAAAGTTTGGCTCATCTATGTCATTACCGTTTAAGAAAAGGCTCATTCATACCATTATTTTTTAACAATGATTTTGCAAAATCATTTTTTACACGTGGCCAATTATAATTCGGCCACGTCATTATTATTTTTAT